AGAGAGAGAGAGAGAGAGAGAGAGAGAGAGAGAGAGAGAGAGAGAGAGGGAGCTGCAGTGACGGCAGGCTGCCCCCCTTATGCTGGGCCCCTTGCTGGACTCTGGAGGGGAAAGAGACGAGGCAAGGAGAGGCCCACTCAAACACACACCAAAAGTCTTGTTTATGTCTATGTTGAATTTGACAGAAAAATGCACATTCTCTAGCACACGGAGTCACACACGCAGAAAATCCAACTGGACAGAACCGGACACACTACAGACATGTGGGTGAGGAGGATGCAAAAACACTTAGCCGACATGTCAGGTTATATAACCACCATAAACTGCTCTCTCTCATTCAGGAAATAGTCCTATTAAAAGACATAAACTTAAAGAATTCACTGTTTGTATTTCTATAAAGAAGTCAGATTTTGAAAGGTGAAGAAATGTACAATGCCATTAAAATTTTGTACTTTACCTATTTATATACTAAAATAAACAGGGAAAAAACAAACAAACAAACAAATCACTACACGCAAACTGCTCCAGTTAAAAACAATGACACAGTTTGCTTTCCAGGAATAATTCATTTCAGCATGATGCGCTCCATATACATCATGTTACCTGTGTGATGCTTCTGGCCTAGAAAGCATCAACCACAAGATGTAAAAGAGGACCCAAAGACATTAGTGGGAACTTAACACTTCATTAGTCTTACAGGCAACAGAACACAAGTGTCAAAAAGCGTGCATGCGCAGAGGTACGTATAAGTGGGCCTTTACAGCAAAGCACAGCAGCTTCTCTCTTTCTATAGGGTCACATGTAAGAGGAAGCAACCAATTACCCTAGTCATGAAAAAGAGGAGGGGGCTGGGGTATTTCAGTGTGTAGGAGACCTAATGGGTTGTGCTATCACCACAGCATACCCCTCCATAAACAACCTGCTACCTGTTACTGTAAATAATGACACAAACCAGGCCCTTTTCGTAGCTTCTCGCGAACCGTCCTACAACAAAAAGGATTTACGTCACCGAGCCTAGTTTGTCTTGATTTAGGTTGAGTTCAGGCCCTGACCCAAATAATATCGGTTCTTGAGTAAATTTCCAAGTTGTTTGAATTCAGAACATCATTAATAATATGTTAGTTAAGACACTGGAAAGAGACAGACCATTTATTTCACAATGCGAGTTGTGTACGCTGATACATTAACAGGCTGCTTTATTAGAGACTCAATAGAAATCCAGTCTAATCCAAAAACACTAATTTTACAACCTTCTGAGTTTCTGTTGACATCAAAAGGCAGACAGTTTCTATTTTAGGTTTACTATTGAAGTCATACATTTTGTGGAAATAAAATCCACTCTGATTTCTATAATTATTTTATTAGTCCTTTATTTATCCAGGTTAAATTTTCACTGAGATTAAAAACTCATTTCCAAGAGAGACCTGGCATCATAATAAACATAATAAAGTAGAATCATCCCCTTAGACAAAATTTACAAAAACTGAAATTTTGTAAATGTCTAAGAGCTGGTGTATTGGCCTGGAATAGAATTTACAGCTATATGTAATAAAGTGAACAAGTGTGTATCTCCCATTTTTTCATCAAAAATGGATAAATGTGAGCCCACTGGGAAAATAAGCAGTATATATACCCCTTGCTATTAGTTTTACCTGGACCCATAAGTTAGTTAAATGAAGAACAGTGGTAGGCAACCTGTGAGCAGCAGGTTGTTAAAATTTCAGACTTGAAAGAGACAGTAGGCTTGTGTTAATTAATGGTGTCATTATTCTTAAATGGCTCCATTCCCCATTACTATTAATGTGAGTGCTTAAGGTGTAGTAGTATAAATAATTCCAGCCAAGCAGAAAGCAGTATGTGATGTGTTGTGTTGTGTTACAGTGAAAGGGATTCTGCTCCCATACTCACATAACAGTAGTAGCACAGGAACACTATAGCTGTAAGCTATGTGACAGGAAAGCTGAATTGTACACCAAGTACATCAAGTCACTGCAGCTTCTCAGTATCTTATCATGTTCTTATTGAGCCAATAAAATGTCAGCTGATATCAGTTTGTTATTAAAGGTGAATAAGCAAGCAGCAATTTAATATTACTATTTTCACTCTGTAAAAAAGTTTTTATGGGGACATATAACAATAAATTTTAAGTAACCCTGATATTCACTTTTGCATATAAACACACCTTAGTTTTGGGACTGTGACTGATTTAGGTAACTTTCCAAAATTTAAAAACTACTGACGCTTTCACTGAAACTTAATTTAACTTGTCATGGGGTAATTAACTTATAATCACTCGGGTCCATGTTTTAAAAAAACATCTAGACACTATGGGAAATTTTGCGTATGAACAAAGTTGCATAATTTCTTAGTGTACCAATATACACATTGCACATTGCAAAGTATGATTTAAAAAACAAAAGAGAAAGAAAGGTCTCACCTGACGCTTTAGCATGTCCTTGCACAATAGGTAAGACGTGAAACCCTTCTTCAATTATTCCCAAGTTCTTAATCCTGTTTAACAGAAAAGCAAAAAAAAGTGCAAGACGCAAGTCACTGAGTGGGCCTTTTCCAACAGTACCTGACCTGCAGTTACTCTTGTTTATGTAACGCTGAACTATTTTCAACAGCAACGTACATACTCAGCGGTAATCATATAGCGTTGAGTGCGGGAACAAACACCGTGATAGAGCCACAGAGTGAAACTGCGCTAAATCAGTTTCTTCTAAAGTCTCGAGCGACTGAAATCACAACAACTCAACTCTCGACCTTAACATTTCTCCTGTGTGTGCGAGTTTCATACCTCAGCTCAACTTTTCCCCATCAAGACCGAGTTGTTTTTAATCCTCTTTAGTCGTCGTTCGTCGTAGTCGTCGTCTTCATGCTCTTGCAAAGTATGTCCCCTCCATGTTGACGAGAGGCAGGTTAGCTTAGAAAGAGAAGACGAGCGCGCGGCACTAAACTCAGAAACGTGTGGAGACTTCGGGGAGAAAACGTTAAACTCGTACGCCCTTCCAGACGTTGGCTCTCACAGCAGCCGCGGTAGTAGCTAACGTTAGCGTGGCTAGCTTGGCTGCTTTAACCCTAAAACGCGGCACCAAGTTCAGCCAGCTCATTAACCGTTCTGCAGCCGAGCGCAACGAACGAGCTGCGGGGGAAACGGTTAACACGCAACTGGGTATCACTCAACAGACAAATGCACGTGCCAAAATGATAATAACGCAATAACAGCGACGATACTCCGACGAGATTTAGGCTATCCCTCCTTCTTCAGGACCCAAATAGATGGCCATTACTTTTTTTTCTTTTTTTGTTATGCACCGCCCCCTCCCTAGGACCTCTACGGGAAAGAGGGATTTCCCCCCCAGCCCCTACGGCAACCAATCACGCTTGGGCTTGATGTGTCTCCTCCGTTGTGGTTGGCCACGCGTCTCTCAAGCTCTAATCTGTTCGGTGGGCTCCGGTGCCAATAACTCGGAGTTCCGTCCCCCTCAAACAGGGGTGTGTCGTGACGTCAAAGGTAACGAAGAGGTAAACAACTTTGACCGCGTGAGGTTTAAAGCGACACCGTTTGTCTGTGATCTCTGATTCAACGGAGACCCGGTGTGGGGATTACCGTGCTTAACATTAGACACGGTATGTCGTCCCAATAGGTGGAAATTGCCTCTCCCGGGCCGTGTTTTTTTCACCTACACAGGAATGTCTTTGTTTGCAGCTACGTGCAATATGAACAATATTGATTAAAAACGTAAATATTGCCACAACAGCATCGCAAACAATAACACACATCTGAAACAATAACAAGAGTTCAATCTGGCTCTAAATCTTTTATTTTATGAATTTAACCCCGCGAATTTTTTTGACACTTCGCAGATGTGTGCAATGAGGCGTGCGTATCGGAGGGGTGTGTCTACTCTGCAGTACACTGGTAGGCTGGAGACGCAACGTCGCTGCATGGCGATGTTGCCATACATTTACAATACACCAGCGGTGGCCGAGTGTGCTAAAAAAAAACCCAACCCAAAAAACCCCTAGACGATTACACACCTCCACTACACGCTTTCACAAGCAAAATACGGTCAGTATCTTGTGCTCTAGTGCATTTATTTATTTTGTATTCATTTGTTTATTTTGTCGTAATTTGAGTGACGTTTCTTCGGAAACCGGCTTTGTGCGTAAATAATCTCTGGGATGTAGTTAAAATGGTGGTGGTGTGTGTGGTATTAGGGCCAGCAGTGGGGGGCCTGAGTGAAGGTCAGAGGTGTGTCTGTAATGTAAACACCATAAAGGTCTTAGATGTGGAGGGGAGAGGGAAAAAGAGAGGCGGCCTATCCGGTCCCAAGTATCCTTTTCCAACTAATTGTAAAAACAAGCGGTAGATCTGTGCCAATTGCAAAAAGAATGTCGATGTCAGTGCAGCTTTGAATATGATATTTTGTAAGCTCCTGTTCAAGTCGTAAAGTGTAATTTTTGCCGCTTTACAAGGCCTGTGTTTTACTGTAAAAATAATACCGCTTTAGAATATATTGTGCATGAGCTTTACCATTTTATATATTACTTGTTTGTGCTACCTTGAAATGATAATACAGGCACACACACACACACACACACACACACACACACACACACACACACACACACACACACACACACACACATAGGCCTATCTTACAAAGTACATGGACATGTTGCATAGCCACCTCTGTTCATCAGATTGTATCACGTACTTTGCTGCCTCACAAGCCTTCCAATTATCTCTGCATTGATCTAACAGTGCTCGAGCCACAGTATATTGTGCACTGCTGTTCTGTTTTCTAAATCCCCTGCGAGTATAGCTTTGGCTCTAAAACAGCAAGAATTTTTTTGCAACAAACATTCCCTAAATATTCTGGTCCATTCCTTGTCTGAGGGTTTTTACATTTGGTACCCCCTGTTTGGCAAGGATTAGCCACAGACCACTAAATAATTTGACTTGAACCATAAAACCCAAAGGTATGTGCAGAGTTCATTGTCGACTACAGATGTTTTTATGCCAGGTTTTCTATCTGCACCGCAGAACTAGCATATCCAGAGCCCGCCAGCACCTTAGATATGTGTCATAAGCTTATTAGGTGTTGATTCATGTGCAGTAACTGGTAGTAAAGTGTGTGGGTGTTAGGTTAATGCTCATGGAGAGTTGATCCTTGTCCTGTGGCTTGGGCTATTTCCAAGTCTGGCACCAGCACTAGATCAAGCCATTCTGCTGCAAGGGGTTTATTTGGCTCCACAGCACCCATGTCAGACATGTATCCTGGCCCAGCCATTTTGTGTCCTCAAATGCTCCGGCCCTTCTCCGTGAGCTGGCTTGCTGTTTGGAAACCAGGAGAGTGGAAATAATAAATCAGAAACACTGACCCACTAAAACTATGGGAATAGTTTTCGTGGCACTAGTGCAGACACATAAATAACTTTCATAGTAACAGAGCTTAAACTGAAATATGCTCTAAGGACAGCTCGATTTCACTTTTGGCTATTATGCCAGGACACCAGCTGATCACACAGCCAAACTGCAATGGGGCTTTATGTGCACTTTGTATATTATAATGCATTATGATATTTTTATTATAGCCACAAGTAAAATAATTTGCTGAAGTGACAAACTTTACAAGCAACTGCAAATCTATTGTGCAAAATAGTGCTGATGCACTGAAAGTGGAAAATTAATAAATTACAGAGGACGTCTGAGGGACAGGCTCAGAGGTCTGACAGCAATTGCAGAGCCTCCAAGGAAAGCCCAGCAATGCCAGATGTGTCTGCCCAAACAAACACTTTCTACATGTCTTTTGAGAAGAAGAAGAAATAGTATATCTAACAGTACTCAATTATCCAGAGTGATCAAGAGTGGCCTTGGGTCCACCAGATCATGTAAAGTACCTGAGAGCTTTTGGAGCTAGATTGTGAAATCATGTGTTGATCAGCTAGTAGATGTCCTGCTGTGCAATGCAGCATGCATCCATGTTATGCCTATGAAACTCAGGATATCCTGCTTGAGGCACTGCCACCCTGTTCCACTTACATCTGTCATCATCGCATGCCTCGGGCTGCTGGTCAGAGCCCTCATGGGCTCACTTCCCCCAGGCAGTGTAGACGGTCGGCACTTTAGACAAGCAGCAGCTCAGCTAAGGGTGCCAGCACTTTAACCCCACAATGCACTGTCTCTCAGAGAGAAAAGCAACAAACTGTAAGTGAGAAGATAGTTGATTACAACAAAGCATTCATAATATTCCCCTCATCCACAGGGGACCGTGTCTGAGCACCATTATGTGCAAGTGAATCCTATACTTGGTGACAGGCAGGCTACTGGTGGTGAAAATGGGCACTTCCTCCACTGTTGTTCTCAGCAGTGCATGCTAACACCTACGGCAGTTCTCAGTGATCACACATATCTGTGGCAGAGCCTCATGTTTATCGGTCTGAGAATGACACAACAGCCGCCACAGTTCTCACTGACGAAGAAAAAAGTCTAAATATTTCTGCACCTAAGCAACAGTCCAGTTTTTGAGAAAAAGAAAACCACAAAACACATATCTGGATGCAGAAATCACAAACATAAATCTGACAGTTTTGGATAAAAATATAGTCATGTTATGAAAAAAATACATTTTTATGTAGAGATGTAAATCCATCCACATATTTCTTGTGATATGGTTTCAAGTGATGAGAGTGGAAGTAAATGCGGCCATTGCCAGGAAAGAAGAGCCCCGGTGACAGGGGGAGATGAAAGGCATGATGCTGGGATTCAGGAAGCAGCAAGGACAAGGAGGAAACAACATGATCAATATGTGTGACGTGGAGTCAGCACTTTTCGGTTCCTTTGGCTCAGTATTACTGGGTAATGTAAACATCAAATTCAACATGGCTCTGAACATCTTTAGAACCTTTGAATCTGCTTGAATGAGAGTAACTGCAGCAGCTGCATCACTGCATGGTGTCCGGGCTGCGCCATGCTGAACTGTAAAACTATACAGCAGGTGATGTAAACAGCACTGTTTTTCAGCGGCAATAAATGGCCATCCCTCTAGGACATTTACCACAGGAGGTGCAAGAAGGAGAGCAATAAAGTCAGGCAGGACCAAAAGCAACCCAGTTCTCAACTTTGCTTTCTTCTTCTTCTGTTTTTTTTTTTTTTTTTTTTAAATTTAAAATCGCTGCTAGAATTTAATTTGCAGAGCTAGCAGGTTCAGAACAGTATAACCATCAGTCTGGTAAATTAATAACTGAATATCGCCTTTGCCCATTCCACCTTCAGTACCTGTACTACTATATACTAATGTACCTTTGTTTGTATGGTCTGTTGAAGTCAACAAAACAAATGCAGTTCTTATTATATGTGACTTAGACTTTAGTGATCTTTAGTCTGCATTCACTCTCTGACTTTATAAATTCCTTTTTCAGCTTCATTTTTTAAAATGTATTTTATAAATGTATTTTTTTTAAATAATTACTCGGGGTTGGGCGTTAGGACATGGAAGCTGTTCCTGGACTTTATAAGCCACGCACACGCAAACACACATTGAAGACAGTTACGTGAGTTGTTACATGATCCGCTTCTTGACTAGGGTGCGGCGAGACCAAGCATGTTTTTATTCACAAAAAATCTTAAAGAGAAATCCTGGACTTGTACTGTTTTCCCTTCAGAACCTCGCCAGGAGCAGCAATGTGGAGATCCAGTTGCTTATTAAAGTTCCTCTAGTTCCCTCTTCTGGAAGAATCAGGAAGGACATGTCTACTCGTCACACGTGGGTCCTTGTGATATAACAAAGCAACAGTACTAAAGCCCACAGGGTTACATTGCTTCAGAACAGCATAGAGCTATTCAGCCATAAATCCCTGCGTGCCTGCCAATAAAATGCATTTTTATGCAGTAGTTGAGCTTATTCCAGCAATCGTAACAAAGAAGCCTTTTGTTGTTTCAAAGAAACGAACGGGGGAAAAATACACAAGCATAAGCAACTTATGGCTCTCAACCCTTTCAGGTGATTTAAAATTTGAATATTGGACAGAGAACCTGCTAAACAACTGGGCTTGAAAAATACACAGGTGTGCGGTTATTAAGTACCCTGGAACGCCTGATGTAGTTACTGTGTCGTTATGTTCATCACACAAACCCTTACCTCAGTACACTATGTCCATGGCGCTTCTAGTGTCGATTTGAGTTGATGGCTTGCGACTTATTTTCTTGGATTAATAATTTCAAATGTATGTAATATTTCTCACCTATAATGCTATTGGTTAAAAATAAAGCCTCGCTTTTCACATGCATAAAGCTTCACGGTATATTAGTTTATAAATTTAACTGAATCCACACTTAGCGCTAATGAAATTGGAGAAACTTTATTTTGAAAACGACGCTTTTATTTTGTCAAGTCGTATCGGATAACGAGTAGCTAGCTAGATTCTAAAGTGATTATCCCGTACGATACAGGATTGTATTGATTTTATCAAACATGTCGGTTAGGCAGACGTGGTGGACAGTTTGCATCTTTACATTGATGCTTCGAATATAACGAATTAGCTTTTGTTTCTTATTCCGACACGGTCAATCCTCTGAAGCTATGATTGTTAGCTTGGTTAGCTTTATATATACGTATATATGTGTGTATCCAGCAGTGTCCGAACACCAGATAGTTGCAGCGAAAAGCCCAACGTTAGGCAAGATATAACCGGAGAACTAATGTGTTTAATCCTAAACGACAGGTTAACAGCGTAATTATTACCAGTGCTGACATTGGGAGAGAGTATGATGAAACATATATACGTGTACTTGAAGCCGTATGTGCGCAGCGTTAACGTAACCGGTCCCATGGTGTAATGGTTAGCACTCTGGACTTTGAATCCAGCGATCCGAGTTCAAATCTCGGTGGGACCTCGTCCTTTTAATCGATGCGTTGTGATTCCTGTCGTTCCTAAATTATGCGTTCAAAGGCTGAGATGTACCAAATCAAACCGGCAGCCAGATGTTTGCAATTAGAACGTCACAACTAAGCTATCACCTGTTCTTTGTAAGTAACACAGAGAAGATGATCCTTTAAACTGAAATTGTCTCAAGATGTGCGTAACTTATAACTTTAATTATGAAGACACTACTTGGTTTCAGAACACTTGCTTTAATGTTCTTGTCAGATATGACATACATCATTCTTTTCACCACCTCAGACACCTAAAATATATTAGTTCTTGTACATAAAAATCCAATATGAAAAATAATAATTGTGCTGAAGTCACCTCGATACTGTTTCAGTGTACAGAAAAAACACAAATAGCAAAATGAAAAATGTATTTCAAAAAAGAAAAATCAACAGTTCAAAATATCACAATAGTCTTTGGTTTTAAGTGAAACAGTTCACTCGTGAAGTGATTATTAACTAAAAACTTCTCTATGCGCTTTTATTATGACAAAAGAAAAGTTGTTCATATTCATGTAATGCTTATGACCTCTTAACTTACTGCATGTTTGTTAAAATCTATTTTAAGATTATATTTTACATTACAAAATTTTTTGCTAGATAGTCTGCATTTTAAATTCTGGTTAACATAATGCTCTATTGTAGTTAGACCTTTATTAGTATTCATGCTGTGAGGACAAAACTGATAATGTTTCCCATCTATATGTAATGAGTGAGTTAAACTGCAGCCACACCTTTGCCTTAGATCATCAGAATACACACTTTCATGAATCCACTTGCTTTACTCTTTCCAGTGTTTCATAAGTGCAACTATACCAGTTTACCCTTGAACACATGACTCTTACTTCCTGCCACATTCTGAGCCCTTTTTCTTCTTCAGCTTTTGATACTGATGTATGGAAAATGTTAGGAAAATAACATGGATGCTTGCTCATGCAGTTTCAAAAGTTTGTTCATCATGTGAACAGTTTGAAAAATGATAACATAAATGATTTTAACAACGATAATAAAAATAAAAGATACAAACACAAAACAAATTAAATCTCTTTTTCAGTCTTATTCAGCAAATATCACCAAGTTTCGGTCAATCACTGGCTATTCCTCTAAATAATACTTTGACCTACAGAGCAGTGATTTGTCAGAATTAGATTCTCTTATAAAAACAGTCATACAGCCAAGCACAGTGATGCAAATTGTATAAACGCAAACAAAAATGGTATATACACACACTTCATGAGAAAATATGTCAAAAACCATTTTAATGTCTTCCCCAGATCCCTAACAGTTCAGAGAGGTTTTTTTTCCCCCAAAAATTCTCAGTTTTTCTCATCTCCGTAGCTGTGGTCCCAGCATGACTTTGTTGATAAAGTTGACGATTGCTACAGCTGGTTGCTCGGGGTCCATCTCTGCAAACAGGTGACACACATTCTCTGTAGCAGTGCCTGTCCGTCTCGCCACAAAGCCAAACATCCTGCACCAGAGGGCAGACACAAGAGGTCAAAAGAAAAAGCAAACCCCATTTAACACTGAGGGAAAGTCAATTTTCTTTTGAAAAGCGAGTAGCAAATCCAATGGTGATCAATTGCCATGCAAAGAAGCACATAGTGCCAGCTGGTATTGTCACTGATAAGGGAAAAACACTGCCCCACAAGCACTTACTTGCTTGACGTGCTATCAGAATTAGTCCACCTGAAGCACGGGTACACAAATAGAGACAAAGTGACAAGGACACAGAGACTGTTTTACTAGGGAAAAGAGTAGCAATATACATCCATTTCTCACATAAAAAAGCGAATATGCAACTCACAAAGAGAACTTATATTAGAAAAATATAAGTCATTACAGCAGCGACAAACACACGTCTGTTCCCACCTTTACTAAAGATAATCAACAGTGACATAGAAACAAGGGTAGTTTTTTATTAACATGGATAAAACTGGTTTTAGTTTTAACGACCCACCTCTGATCATGAGGATCAAGACTGCTAAAGGTGATACTGTTGATTGGGTAGTGTCTCCTAAAAAATAGCCTGCGTAAACATACATAACATTAAGTCTGGCATGAAAGAAAGACTTAATACTTCCTATGATTGTTTAATACAATAACAAATACCACAAAATATACAAATAATACTCATTAAGTGAAACTGACGCTCTTCCTAATATGTAACATTGTAGTGATTCATAAGTACCTTCTTTTGCTGTCGGTTAGTGTGATACCCTGAGAGGACACTTTGAAGTGGACCATGGTTGCCACTGGGCGTGGATTCAGAGACAAAGTGAACTTCGTTGCCTTAGAAACTGCTTCGGGCCCAGTTAACGACTCTGTTTCCACAGAGTTCAGGTAGAGGACGTTGCACGCTGGTTCATTAGGGAAATGACAAAGATTATTATTATTATTAATATTTTTCTTACAGATCAACATTGTGAAAACATGGAGTTTGAGAAGTACCTGCTCCTTGTTTGAGGAGCTCAGCTGCAGTGCTGGTATTTGTTGCACTCTGCATTTCCTGAAGCTCCCCAACCAGATCTGAAACATGATGAATTTCATTTAAGGCTGTAAAATGCCTCCTATTCATAGAAGAGCATTTAACTGTTCTCGCATAATAGATTTAGTTGAAATCTAATTAAACAATTAATACCTTTTTCTGGGATGTGAAGAGGACATGGCAAAGAGATGGGAGTAATTGAATGCTGGTACACCAAGGCGGATAAACTTCCTGAGACAAAAAAAAAAAAGGTAAGAAGATTGCAAATGTGACAGATTAGAAGGGATTAAAACACAGAAAATTGAGGCTTGGAATGTAGTAAATATTCAAAAACTGTATGTAGATTAAAATGCTAAGTTTCTCACACAACACTGAAAATGTGAAATAAATGGCAGCATTTGGATCTACA